CCAGAGGGTAGGAGGGAGAGAAAGACAAGAGTGGTTATCAGATAACAACTGCTGGCAAAACCAGCAAAAGACTTTGCATTCCTGAATGTTGAAACTTTGAACTAACTTCCACGTGGCTATTTCTGCAATTATTTAATGAGACTAGCCAGGAGTCACTGACCCCCAGGAGCCTCCACTTCTCCTTACACGTGAACTTTCCAGACTGTTACCCAGAAGAAGAAACACTTCTTTCTTGGGAACTCGGCACCCTCCCCTACCCGCTTTATCTATGGCAAATGTAAATTCTTTCAAAACGACTTACATCTTCCTTGATTAGTAAAAGAGCCCATCAACTCCAGGACAGCTGACGGGTTGTCTTCATCTAGCCCTGCTGCTGGTGGTTTAGACTTCATGCCTTGGGACCTGGTCCTTTTCTGGCTAGCATTTGGCTCAATAAATCCTTTTGATGCAGGACAGGGCAAATTTCCCCGAGTGGGGAGGGAGACCAAGCTCTGCACCAAGAAAAGAGGGTCCTTTGGTGAAGAATAAAAAAAGAATTTAACACACATGCCAAAGTGAGAGTCAAAAGGAAAGTTTGTTAAAAAAGGGATAACGCTCCACAGACATAGTATAGTCTCCTCTCAGAGGCAGAGAGTGAGAGGGGCCATGAGAGGGACTCAGAGGGACAGAGACTGTAGAGAGAGATGAGGGCAGTGAGAGAGACAGAGTAAAGGCACTGAGAGGAACCCTAAGTGTTCAGGGAATTCAGTTTATATGTCATTCTTTAGTTCCCATTTTCTTAGATATGGACATACAGCGAGGAAGGGGAAAAGTATATAGTGTGAAAAGGTAGAAATATGTAGAGTGAAAGGCCACCTGGCAGTTCCTAGCCTTGAATCCTTAGGTTCCCCATCGTTTTAGCCATAGGGAATGACTCTTGGTCCCTATTTTCCCTGAACAGGTGTGGAGAATGGGTTGTTAGTAATCCAGCAGAAATCTTCCTTTGTGCTGAAGGTGTCCTCCTGGGCTGGCTGCAGGGCCGATCAGCATATTGTAGTCTCTGAATGTAGCTTGATTTAACATTTTTAATTCTCTTGCTTCCTCTCTACATGACTTTCTTTTTAAAAAGCTTTCAGCTGTTAAAGTTTTTTGTTTAATGAGTGCATGGTCCATAAAGAAGAAATATTTCCTGCTTCTGGATTGGTTGTGGACAACAGTCTGGAAAGTTCATGCACAAGCAGGATACAGTGGCTTCTGGTGGTTAGCTATTTTTTCTTTCAGATAACTGCCTGGAAGTTGTTTCAAAGTTTTAATGCACATTCAGGAATGTCTTTTGTTGGTTGCAGCCACAGCTCTGTTAACTGATTAACCTCTTATCTATTCCTCCCACCTCAGGCCTACTGCAATTTAACTTAGGACATCTCAGAATTTTTCTCTTATCACCTTTAAACCAGCTTCCTATATTTGGGAAGAATTTCTAGATGAATATTGTATGTTGATTTAGTCTGGTGGTAACGATTTCATGCAGTTTATGAGCCTGAATTATGTAAATGCTATTCTATGTGTCGTTTCTTTTTTCCTCCCTTTATTTTCCAGGAGTTCTTGAGACCTTTATTCTAAATTTAAAAATTTGCTTACCAATCTCTGAGACTCGTCAAATTATAAACTCTGTTAGATGTGAGAGGCTTTACTATCTTGTCAATTTTCTTGTGAACATAGGCAAAGGAACTTTATAAAAAGAAATACTTCTTCCCTTTGTTAATATTGTACAGCTCTCCTGCCTGGGGGAAGTGGTTGGGGAAAAAGCCAAAGATTTTAAGATTTGATCTCTTTAAGTCTATTTTTATAGTTCCCGTGGTTTACTAGGTTGACTGTCAGCAACAAAGGGAAACTTCCTTGTCCCTAGGCTGTTTCTCCTTCCTGGAGTCCCACATCTGGCTTCCCCTTCCTGGGACTCTGACATCCCTCAGATATCATGTGTGACCTCTCCAAACTCTCACCTCAGGACACCCAGTCCACTTGGCACACTGCCTCTTTAGCTCTCCCCAGGGAGGGAAAGACATCCCAGTCTTTTGGTGGGTAGAGTCTGTGGTATAGTACAGCCTCCTTAGTATTTGTCTATCATCTGTTAAGACTTGTGTGAGGCTGGCGGGCTTGTCCAGCCTCTGGTCTCTGTGTGTCTGAGACCACAAAGGGCAGTAACAACACAGACGGTCTATTCCGAGTCCTAAATGCTGCAGCTTTACGAATTGTCCATCACGGTCAGTGACTGGAAATATTTGTTGAGCAGCGCCCTCTCACGGAATTCTGCTTCAATCACAGGCAGGAGATGGCAGTAGTACTTGTAAATGGAATTTCTAACTAAAGGCTGCATCCTTAAAGGATTTGCTGGGCTGCACCTCTTGGTTCAGTTTCTGTCCCTGGAACTGGCCCGAAGAATGTATATAGCAGACCTTCCCCTGGTCACATGTGGCTCTACTTCTCAAGCCACATTCAGGAGTTCTTGCGGACTCAGGCTTGAGCCACCTTACCCCCCAGAGCTCTGACCATTTTCCTTCTTGTTCTCCTGCTCCATCTTTCCTAGGGCTCTGGCTGCTCCTCCTATTTGACTCTCAAAGCCAAAGGGCTGTTCACACACACACCTACACACACGAAACATACTTAATCTGTGGCAGGTCTCACCATTCCTTAGAAATCATACACACATAGTTAGGGCCAGGATGGAACAATGGGAAACAGGGAGACATGTTTCCTGCTTCCTCCCACTCCGCATCAGCTCTCTCACCTCACAGTCGTGGAGGCCAACCCCATGTTCTAGATTTCTACCAAACATCTCTACCTGCTTGTCTTACCACTTCCATTTCAAAGTATACAAAGCTGAAACCGTCATGGTTACCACCAAGCAACTCTTCCTTTCTGTCAATGACATTGCTCTTGTCTTGTCACCTAGACTCAGAACCTGGAAATTTTATTGATTCAATGTGCACACATACTCCATTCATCAGGGGAGAGAAATTTCTGGAAACAGGAGCACCAGCAGAGTTATCTTGGATGTGCTTTCTGAACCTCTAAATTTATTACCTAAAACTCCTTGCCATCAGGAGCTGGCGTCCTCATCTTCTCTGTGTGCTTTCTAGTAACTTCAGCAGCGGATTTGTCTGGGCTTGGAAATGAGCACCACCACCCCTCCCC